TATGACAATTTATCTTTCAGAGAGGTTTTCAGGTCACTTACACCTTAAGTTCTCCAAGTCCTGTGTCCAGTGTGTGTAATGTTTTAAGCAATAAGGACTTACCTTCAAGTTCTGCGGTCAACTAAAAACAATGGCAATAGTATGTGCTCTTTGGGCAGTCTCTTTCACTCCCCTGACAACTTGAAGCGAAAATTTGCATACTTGCCCCTAGAGTTTTCTGTTTGATAGTCTCTGACCCTTGGGGAAAGTATTATCACCCATACACATGCACACACAATTATATATTTTATGTAAGCTTATTAAATATCGTGCTTCTCTATGTTTTTTTTTCAAAAATCCAGAGAGTAACTTATCTATTACCCTACCTTCTTTACCCAGTTAAAGTCTGTTACCTGTTTTCCTTATTTCCCTCTTCATAATACCTAAGTCCTCCATTCTCCCTCTTTAAAGGTCATTTTCTTCCTGTCCACTCCCCTTGAACCATGTCTACTTCCCTGGCTTCTATAGTCATTTCTGGCTGTATACTTAACACATTCTAACTCTTTGTGAGTCTAGCTTACATCACTCAGTATATGTTTTCCTGATCCATTCACTGGCCTACAGATTTCATCATTCCATTTTTCTTTACAGCTGAATAGACTTCTATTGTAAATATGTGCCATATGTTCATTATCCAGTAATCAGGTGAAGAACATCAGGTGGTTTCCATTTCCTGGCTCCTGTAAACAGGACAGTGATGAACACGGCCAAGGAGTGGACAGCTGTGTCACTCGTAAGTCTTGTCTGTGGTGACTCCAGACGGCTGCCCTAGTCATAGATGCCACCAGCAGTTGTTCTCCCGCTCTTAGCCACTTTGACTAGAGGAAGATGAAATCCCAAAGTAATTTTAATTTGTATTTGCCTAATGCTAAGGATGACAAACACCTTTAAAGATGCTTCATGGAAATTTTTTCTTTTGTTATCTCTGTTCAGATCCATAGACCAATTTGGTTTTGTTGTTGACTTTTTATTGAGCCCTTTATATATTCTATATACTTGTCTTCTGTTAGATAAAAAGCTCACAAATATTCTCACTCTGTGGCCTTTCTCTTAGCTTAATGGATTGTTTTCTTTGCTATACCAAAGCATTTTAGTTTTATGACATCCCCTTTGTCATTTGTTGGACTTAATTTTTGTTAGAATGGAGTTCTATGTAGAGTCCTTTTCTCCATCTGTGTTTTGCCACATACTTCCTTTGTCTTTCTTCTAGAAATTGACACATTTCAGGTTACTGTTGTGCTCTGGAAAACATTCAGAGTTAATTATTATTTTGTTGTTTTTGCAAGATGATAGATATTAGTCTACTAATATGTGTGGACATTCATTTCTACTAGTACCAATTATTGAAAATGTTTCTTTACTGTATAATTTTGGCATCTCTCTCTAATGTAAGATGGTTATAATTGTGTGCGCTCATATTTGAGACTTTTCTGTATTTCACTAATCCACATATCTGTCTTTGTATCAGTGCTATGCTGTTTTTAATTAGGGTAACTACTTAGTACGTCTTGAAATGGGTGTGGTGAATCCTTCAACATTGTTTTGTCTTTTTTTTTCTATTGGTGTTGGTGCTGGGACACGTGTATGCATACATGCATGTGTGTTTATTGTTTACTCAGTATTGTTTTGGCTATCAAGGTGTTTTGTGCTTCCATATGGATTTCAGGATTTTTTTCTGCCTATGTGAAGAATGTCATGAGCATTTTGATTAGGATTACACTGAATCTGATTTGTGTGTGTGTGTGTGTGTGTGTGTGTGTGTGTGTGTGTGTGTGGCAGGACAGTCATTTCCACAGTACTAGTTCTGCCAGTCCTTGTGCATGGAAGTCTTTCCATCTTCTCTTGTCTTTCTCCATGTCATCATTCAGGATTGTAAAGTTTTTATTGTAAAAATCATTCACTTCCATGGTTAGCATTATTCTTATATAGACTAAAACTTGTGTAGACCAAGTCTATAATATTCAGGTCTTGTTTAATAATATTAATCTAATGGAACACTAATTATCTTTGTTGTGTTTCTATTGTTTTGATAAAACACATGGCTAAAAGCAACTTGGGTAGAAAGCTTTATTCATCTTCTAGCTTGTAGTTCCTTATTCAGGGAAGTCAAGGCCAGAATCCAAGTCGAGAACCTGAAGAAAGGAACTAATGCATAGACCTTGGGTTAGTGGGGCCTACTGGCTTTCTCCTCATGGCTTACTCAGCCCGCTTTACATCCAGGACTACCAGCTCAGGTATGACACCGCCCAACATTGATTGGGGCCCTTCTACATTAATCATTAATCAAGAAGATGTCATATGGATTTCGTATAGGCCAATTTTTTTGAGGCATTTTCACACTTAAGGGTTCTTTTTCCCAGATGTCTAGGTTTATATCAAGTAGCATAAAAGTGAAAAATATGGGGTAAACATTCGATTTATAATAAAGATGACATTTCAGAACTCTTGGGAAAAGTTAGGTATATATCCCTTTTGATATAATAGAAAATGGAGTATTTATTAAATAAAATAGTTTAATTATTTAGAAATAAATTATATTCTCTTTCTGGATTAAAAATGACCCTACTTTCAAATGAGTAAAGAACTGACTGAATTAAAGGAAGCCCTCACCTCACTTAATCTTTACCTCAGAGAGCTCTTGTTGGGCATGAAAAAAAGTACTCGAAAGATGGTTTATTATCAGGAAATTAATTTCAGTGTGGTGTGCTATATCAAAATTGAAAGAAAAATGCTAAACGTGGTAAATATTTTAATAAAAAATTGAATAGGCTTAAAGTCTTTGGTAAAAAGGTGTTACACACTTCAGGAGGTCAGGCACTGTCGGGATGGCTCAGTCTTTACAGTGTTTGCTGCTCAAGAAATCCTAAATTCCAATCTCTAGAACCATGTCAGTGACAAGTGGATGTGGTCTGTCTGCAGTTCTAGCCTTGGAATACAGAGTTATTCGGAATCTCCACTATAACCTGGCTAACATGACTAGCCATAGCTTCAAGCCCTGTATTTAATTGAGAGATCTTACCTCAGTGAATAAGATGGAAGACCAGTTATGTTAGATAACTGATGTGAACCTTAAGCCTCCACATATGAACATACGTGCATGATTAAACATGTAACCAACACACAGGAAAACAAATATACACCATACATGTTTATACATGATAGGACAACCCACTCTTTACTAAGACACAATAGCTTACTCATTAAAAATGACCAGCAGAGATTTTGAGTTCAGTCTTCCTAGGATTGTGAGAGTTGAGATTTTTAAAAATTATAAATATGAAGATGTGAAATGTTTATTTCTATATTCTGCAGTAGGGGTTTCTCTCTGGACGATGTGTATCAAGGGCTTTAACAGGTATCATTACCCAGAAGTTCTACTCTAAAGATTTGTTTTGAACCAGGTATTAGAAATTGGCAAAACTGATACCATACAGGTATCTCTGATAGTTTTTAATTTTAGTGTTTATTTGGCATCAGGCCAGTCTGTCTGCCTCACTTCATTGTCATTGTATTTTGCCTCTCTGAAATTGCCTACATTACATTGTTAAGTAGATGTGATGCTTTGTAATAAAATTTTTTGAGAACTTTATAAATGAGTGTAAGTTGTATTTAAATCTTTTCCATTCATCCCATCTTTTTTAAACCACAGTACACCTAATTTTTCAGTGTTTCCTGTGCTAAAAGTTAGATAAAATATTTTAGGTATATATGATAGCTTTTTTTGCATCACCAGTAAAGAATCAGTGACTTGAACTATGTTATTAAATCATTTGTACTCAACACTATTGACAAGTGATGAGTGCAGTCTGCTAAAGTGAAGGCAGGAACTGTGGGATAATAACAGATTTTCTGAGACAATCAGGGTCTGTCCACACAGCACAGGAAGCCTCTACCTTTTCTACAAGCAAAATGCCATCTCTACTCTCATGTTTCTTTTTTCTTCCTGTAAAGTTTTTGTTTTCTCACCATTTATAAAGTAAAAGAGCATTCTTATCTGTCAAGCAAAAGGGAAGTGAGCATTTGCTTACTTTTGTGACTAGAAAGAATATAATCTATTTTGTATGCTAAAGTATGGCATTTTATGATTAAAAGATCAAAATAGGTATTAATAAGGCTAATACCTAATCTAACAAACATCTTATTTTCCCTCCAAATAGGTAAATGATGGACAAGACTAACTTTTAAACAAAAGTAGCAACTAATGTTTTTCTTGGTTTGTGCCCATTTTTGTGATCCACTGTTGAATGCCAGTATAAGAGAAAATATTTTAAGTTTGTTGTTGAAGTACACGGAAAAATGTGAGGTTTCTGATTAAACATGTTTAAAATTGTATTGAAAACTTGATTTTCTGTCATGCTTGCTAGAGATTGTTTCTCTTATTATCTAACATTCCTAGCCAGCTGACTTTAGCTCTTCCTAAATCTACAGGCATTCTAATTTGGAGCCATTATATAATGAAAACATTGGGAGTAATTTCTTAGGTCTACAGTTCTTCATTGCCCTCAGTGCAGATCTTTACACTGTAGCTCATGATTATAATTTGCATAAGTGAAATTCATATTTATGAGTACAGATCTTGAAGCAACTGACAGGTGCAAGGTTGTCTGCCATGCCAATTTATTGTTTGTCGTGTCATTTAAGAGATAACTGCTCCCTGTATTTTAAAGAATACATTCTCTACTAGAATTACAATCAAATTCTAAAAGTAGATAGAACTCATTTTGTAGCATTCGACTTTTATGCTTTTCTATGTAACAATGGACATCCTTGTGGTGGTGATTGTTTGAATAAGTACTTACACATTGCAAATGTTGCTTGACACACATAAACCCTTGAGTTCAGAACCAAGATCAAGCCCTGGAGCAAAAGAATAGAAGCATTTGACTTAGCTGATACTGTCTATTATATTAGTGATATCTGTTATTATCTTCCAATTCATTTCTTCTGACCCTGTGTTTCAGGGTATGCATGAGCTGCTAGCACCTATCATCTTTGTTCTTCACTGTGACCAGCAAGCTTTTCTACACGCTAGTGAGTCTGCACAGCCCAGGCAAGTTGTTGCATGCAAATATTTTCAAACTGAAGTTACTTTAGTTTTGTATTCTGTAAACAATTGATTATATTTCATGAGATTGATCTGTGCTAAATTCTAATGCTGGTTTAGATACATGGCAAATTTGAATTGTAAGTGTGTCTGAAATAGTAGGACTTGTCAAATGAAAACAAAAATGTAAAGGACCAAAAAGGAAATGTTTGATATAATTTTAAAAATGATAATCATGGATAATATTCAGATTTGCTGTGCTCTAAGTTTTTACTATTAATTGAATGAAAACTTTGTGTGATACTTTGTCCCTACCAGCTCTGACTCAGCTTAGTACATAAAGGAACAGTGCTACCAAGGACACTGGTCTGTGAAATAGAGTGACTTTTCATATTTTTGAGAAATACTCATTCTTTCTTGTAAATGACTTTTGTAATTGGCCTTAGCTTTGGTAACTGTTAAAACTTAGCTCTCCATCTTAGAATACCAATGAGGCCAACAAGAAGCATTTTATGATGGGTGAGCTATAGGATTGTTGGGCATTGTCAGGAGTCTTCCTAGCTAAGTGACTTGCATGCCAGCAAAAATATACCTGGTGATACCTTGACACGTGTTTATATGATCCTTCCTAATCAGATATAAGCTGACTGTTTTGCTGGAAACAGGCCCAAATTATATTAACTCTTTTCTACAGTATAGGAATTAGTGGTTGCATAATGTCCAGTTTTCTAATTTTATTGATTTCATCAAATCTTGACACAAATAACTTAGCTTTTAACTGCCTTGAATTACTCTACAATCTAAGGCTGAAAATAGTTCATTATAAAATAGAACAGCATTGAGTAGATTTGCTAAAGGTGTTGTTGTTGACTAATTGATGTTAAGATGAAATAAAAAAGAAAGCAATAAAGCACTTTTGGTATTGCATGTTCAATCAGTTACTATAGTTTTTTGTTTGTTTTGAAAGAAAAGTGATATATTGTAGAGTAAAAAATTATTATAGATCAAACTTAATCAAGGACTATAGTATCACTTTTTCCATATGTTATTTGGAATACCTTGAAGGAATATAGTTTCACTCTTTCCATACATTATCTGGAATTATTAGATGGTTACTTTATTGGGACACAGACAATCAAATAACTTCCTTTTAATCTTTATAAAAATCAGAATTTTATTTGTTACTAGAGTTGACCTTTGAAAGACTAACTTTTTAGTTGTACACTATATGTAAATTGACTTATGAATGCAGTCTAAAGCAGAGGCTATATCTACTAGAGTTATTAAAATTTGCTCACGTTGATGGCTTGAATTGTTTTCTTTTATAAGTGAGGAAATGAAAACTCTATTGAACCCTGAGTTTCTGGAGCATGATGCCTAGTAAGTATTACAGCTATTACGTTTTCTTTAAAAAAAAATACTATCAGAACTTTAGTGAAGATTAAATATATAATTATTTTTTTTCTAATTTTTAGCGCAATGTTCTCACAGCTTATGGAAACTGCTGAACCTTGGTTTTCTACTTTTGAGCATGATGGTCAAAAGGTAACTCTTAACAGTACAGATCTCTTCAGTACATTTTTGTAACAATAAATAAAAACATACCCTAGAATAGTTAGTTATTTTACTGTAATATAGCTAATCATTTTTGTAATAAATTATAGACATACTTAGGGCAGCAATTCTAGCCCTCTATTACATATTTTAATAATATTGGTATATAAATAAACACAACATGAATATTCATATAAATAAGTGGAACCTTTCCTTTTTTTTAAAAATTTATTTATTTATTAAGGATTTCTGCCTCCTACCCGCCACCGCCTCCCATTTCCCTCCCCCTCCCCCGATCAAATTCCCCTCCCTCATCAGCTCGAAGAGCAATCAGGGTTCCCTGACCTGTGGGAAGCCCAAGGACCGCCCACCTCCATCCAGGTCTAGTAAGGTGAGCATCCAAACTGCCTAGGCTCCCGCAAAGCCAGTACGTGCAGTAGGATCAAAAACCCACTGCCATTGTTCTTGAGTTCTCAGTAGTCCTCATTGTCCGCTATGTTCAGCGAGTCTGTTTTTATCCCATGCTTTTTCAGATCCAGGCCAGCTGGCCTTGGTGAGTTCCCGATAGAACATCCCCATTGTCTCAGTGTGTGGGTGCACCCCTCGTGGTCCTTAGTTCCTTGCTCATGCTCTCTCTCCTTCTGCTCCTGATTTGGACCTTGAGATTTCTGTCCTGTGCTCCAATGTGGGTCTCGGTCTCTGTCTCCTTTCATCGCCTGATGAAGGTTAATATTCAGGAGGATGCCTATATGTTTGTCTTTGGATTCACCTTCTTATTTAGCTTCTCTAGGACCGTGAATTATAAGCTCAATGCCCTTTCTTTATGGCTAGAAACCAAATAGGAACCTTTCCTTTATATATGCATATTAATCATGCAGTATTGCCATCTAATTATAAAATTATTATAAACTTTAAGTCTGTTTTGTCTCTTTCAGATAGAAAGGGATTTAGTATGTACCCCTGTCTAATTAATAACTCACAGTGATCTGCCTGTGTATTGGGAGTAAAGGCGTGTACCATATACCTGGCTATTATAAAACTTTTATTAATCTCTTACTGAGATCTTTTTTAATGCATTGCTATTGAAGCACATTGATAAAGATCTGTGTCAGACAGATTGCCTTCTTTTGCTAGTATATTATTTTAAAATCACAGATTTAATGTCCATGTCCTTTATTCTTACTTTATTTTACTTATTTTCATTGAATATAGGATTTAAATGAGGAATCGCATTTGAGCAGAGGGATGAAATTGAGACTTTTCTGTATGGAAAGCAATCTTGGAAGAAGCATAAACACTATTATTTGAGCATTAGATTTAAACTCAGAAGTAAACCAAGAATCACTAGTGAGGGATGCTACAAATGCCACTGTCAGATACATAGAAATGAAGGACTGAAGGTCACGGTGGGTCAGGCTCATGGAGTCCATATAATGTTGAGGGAGGGCCTCACACAGATTGTATTTTAAGCACAGTTATTCATCTTTTCTCAGCTACTTACATTGACAAAAGGACAGAGAAAGGACATTTCTTTTTCTAAAATGATTTTTTCTTTCCCTTTTTGTGTAGTTTTCATTTAGTGTTTCAGTTTTAATTGCTACAAGAAATATACTTCCATCCAAGCCTAACCAGATCAACTGGCCATGGACCACTTGACAGGCTTCACTGCTTCTAGCCTGTTGTGGGAGCTGTGAGCTGCATTCCTGCTGCCCGGCTCTCGGCCGCCTGGCTAGCTTATGCCCCGAAATAACAACACACAAATTGTATTCATTTAAACACTGCCTGGCCCATTAGCTCTAGCTTCTTACTGGCTAATTCTTACATCTTGATTACCCATTTCTGTTCATATGTGTAGCACCCCAAGGTGCGCTTTCCGGGAAGATTCTAACCTACGTCCATCTTGGGTCGGAGCTTCATCGCATCTGCCTCAGAGAGCAGAGCTATCGAGTCTGAGCTCACTTCCTCTTCCTCCGAGCATTCTGTTCTGTTTACTCCACCCACCTATGTTCTAACCTTCCAGGGCCAAGCAGTTTCTTTATTAATTAACCAATGACCTTCCTCCATCACTATCCTAATTCTCCTGGGAAATTTAATGACACAAGAAGAACTATGCAAGGGAGACACTTAGAAGAGACACTCTGGGTGAGGCTGGATAAGCACAGCTGTCACCTGCCCCATAAATGTTTGCTATGCCATGGTTATGATAGAGCAGTGTTGCATCTTTAAGCTCCTTTGATGGATAAATTTAAAACCAATTACCATGTTTCTTAATTTCAAATTGAAATAATATGTCTTCTATTTTTCAGGGAAAAGACTCTCTGATGACACCTATCCCCTTTGCTAGACCACAGGATTTAGGGCCAACAGTTGCCATTGTTACTAAAGTCAACCAGATCCAGGATCACCTACTGAAGAAGCATGATATTGAGCTCTACATGCACTTGAACAGACTAGAAATTGCACCACAAATATATGGGTTGTAAGTTTTAAATTTCTACTTTAGCTATTTCTAATTATGATTTTCTGATAGTTTCTGAATAGCTCAGATCCCTGAAAATAGGGCCTGTTCTAGTTCCATTCATGTGCCGGGTCATCTCATTATTTTCACATATGGTGTCTCATCTTTGAACATGGTAGAGTATGTTATTTAGCTAAGCAGTCTAAGGAAGCATGGGATTGCATGCGATTACACATGAATCCAGACCCGAGACTCCAAGTCATCTGTACTGTGTTCTTTGAATGCCTTGATTTTCCTTCTGGTTGAAAAGTTTTTCTCAGTGAACATGCTGTAGTAATTATCTGTAGTCACATTATTTTCTAACATGCTAACAGAAGAATAGGGACTCAGTGATTCCTTAGGGGTGGGGTGTGTGTGTGTGTGTGTGTGTGTGTGTGTGTGTGTGTGTGTGTGTGCTTTCCCCACGATTAAATGTGGTAAATGAGAAAACTAGTGCTTTGGTTAGTGTCTGTTAGCTACGTAAATCTGTAGATAACAAAATTATTTGTTCATCACATTTTTAAAAATGTTCTTTTCATCTTCATCTACTGCTAAGCAATTGCTTGGAAGAAAAAAATATTTTTGCTATGATTTTTTTTATTAAAGATTTCCGCCTCCTCCCCACTTCCCTTTTCCCTCCCCCTCCCCCCACTTCACACCCTCCACTCCCCTCCCCCCCTTCTCCAGTCCAAAGAGCAGTCAGGGTTCCCTGCCCTGAGGGAAGTCCAAGGTCCTCCCCGCCCCCCCTCCATCCAGGTCTAGGAAGGTGAGCATCCAAATAGGCTAGGCTCCCACAAAGCCAGTACGTGCAGTAGGATCACAACCCAGTGCCATTGTCCTTGGCTTCTCAGCAGTCCTCATTGTCCGCCATGTTCAGAGTCCGGTTTTATCCCGTGCTTATTCAGTCTCAGTCCAGTTGGAAGAAAATTTTTGAAGCCTGACTCTCAATTAGCTTAGATGTTTAATGATAAGAACGTCATTGAGATGTACATAGACCAGGGACTTAAAAAGGACACAGTGAGTGTTTTATGTATGTTTTCTTGTGAGACTGAGTCTTTTCCTCTTTTTCTTTGGAAGCTCTGAGTTCTGCTGAAGGGAAATCTGCTTTCTTGTGTTTATGGTACTGGTTCTTATTTGGGTGCTTTAGCTGTGGTATCAGCAAAACACCTTCATCATTCCTACTGGAAATAACAGACTTTCATGTTATGGTCATTGGGCAGCACAGGCTGATATTAAGGAATTGCCATTTAAAAGTGAAATGTGTGTCACTGTAAATACTGAGCTTTAATTTAAAAGGTCAGGAGTTCTGTTTTTCTTTCCGTGATGCAAAGAATTGGTATATCCAAAGACATGCCTCAAGGAAAATTTAGTATAAAAAAGTAGTTTTGTTTGTTCAAACTCCTTTTTGCGAATAAATTGAAAACTAATGTCCATTTTTACTAATTTCAATTATTGCTACCAGAAAAAGAGTCTTTAAGATAATAGAAAAATTTACTATTGAATATTTTTGTCATTTCTTTGAAATGCTTATAAATTTTTGCCAGTTTGTCTGAGCTGGTGATTTACTTGGAATCCAGTAGCATGGATTTTAGTATACTAATTTATATTTAGAATATTGTTATACCAAACACTTGTGTATTTTTGAAATGTTTTTAATTTTCACTTTTTAAATGTTTAACTTTTTATTGATTTTTATTGAGCTATACATTTTTTCTCTGCCCCTCTCCCTTCCTCTTCTTTCCCCTTCTACCCTTTTCCATGGTCCCCATGCTCCGAATTTACTCAGGAGATCTTGTCTTTTCCTACTTCCCACGTAGATTAGATCTGTGTATTTCTCTCTTAGGGTCCTCATTGTTGTCCAGGTTCTCTGCAATTGTGATTTGTAGTCTGGTTTTCTTTGATTTATGTCTAAAAACCACTTGTGAGTACATATATTTGTTTTTCTGGGTCTGGGTTACCTCACTCAATATGTTTTCTGGATCTATACATTTACCTGCAAATCTCAAGATGTCGTTCTTTTCCTATGTTGTGCTCCATTGTGTAAATGTACCGCATTTTCCTTATCCATTCTTTAGTCAAGGGGCATTTAGGTTGTTTCCAGATTCTGGCTATGAACATAGTTGAGCACATGTCCTTGTGGCATGAATGAGCATCCTTTGGGTCTATACCCAAAAGTGGAATGACTGGGTCTTGAGGAAGGTTGTTTCCTAATTTTCTGAGAAATAGCCACACTGACATCCAAAGGGGTTGTACCAGCTTGCATTCCCACCAGCAATGCAAAAGTGTTCCCTTTATCCCACAACCTCTCCAGCATAAGTTGTCATCGGTGTTTTTCATCTTGGCCTTCTTACAGGTGTAAGATGGAATCTCAGAGTTGTTTTAATTTGCATTTCTCTGATGACTAAGGATGTTGAGCATTTCCTTAAGTGTCTTTCAGCCATTTTAGATTCCTTTGTTTAGAGTTCTCTGTTGATGTCTGTACCCCATTTTTTTACTGGATTATTTATTCTTTTGATGATCAATTTCTTGACTTCTTACTATATTTTGGAGATCAGACCCTGATGTGATGTTGGTGAAAATCTTTTCCCATTCTGTAGGCTATCATTTTGTCTTGTTTTTCATGTCCTTTGCTTTACAGAAGCTTTTCAGTTTCAGGAGGTCCCATTTACTAATTGTTTCTCTCAGTGTCTGTGGTACTGGGGTTATATTTAGGAAGTGGTCTCCTGTACCAATGTGTTCAAGTGTACTTCCCACTTTCTCTTCTTTGAGGTTTAGTGTGGTTAGCTTTGTGTTGAGGTCTTTGATTCACTTGGACTTGAGTTTGTGCATGGTGATAGATATGGTTCTATTTTCTTCTACATGTTGATATCCAGTTATGCCAGCACCATTTGTTAAATATGCTTTCTTTTTCCATTTGATATTTTTTGCTTCTTTGTCAAAAATCAGGTGTTTGAAGGTGTGTGGATTGCTATCTGTGTCTTCGATTCTGTTTCACTGGTCCTCCTGTCTGTTTTTATGCCAATACCAAGCTATTTCAGAATTGTAGCTCTGTAGTAGAGTTTAAAGTCAGGGATTGTGATGCCTTCAGAAGTTTTTTTACTGTACAGGATTGTTTTGGCTAACCTAGGTATTTTGCCCTTCTATATAAAGTTGAGTACTGTTCTTTCGAGGTCTGTGAAGAATTTTGCTGGGATTTTGATGGGCATTGCATTGAATCTGTAGATTGCTTTTAGTAAGATTTCCATTTTCACTATGTTAATTCTACCTACCTAAGAGCATGGGAGATCTTTCCATTTTTCTGGAGTCTTCTTCAGTTTCTTTCTTCAGAGATTTAAAGTTCTTGTCATACAGGTCTTCCACTTGCTTGGTTAGAGTTACTCTGAGATATTTTATGCTATTTGTAGCTATTTGAATGGTGATGTTTCTCTGATTTCTTTCTTAGCCCATTTATCATCTGTGTAAATGAGGTCTACTGTTTTCTTTTAATTAATCTTATATCCTGTTAAATTACTGAAAGTGTTTATGAGTTGTAGAATTTCTTTGGTAGAATTTTTGGGGTCACTTATGTAAACTATATCATCAGCAAATAGTAAGAGGTTGACTTCTTCTTTTCTGATTTGTTTCCCCTTAATCTCCTTTTATTGTCTTATTGCTCTAGCTAGGACCTCAAGAACGATACCGAATAGATATGGAGAGAGTGGACAACCTTGTCTTATTCCTGATTTCGATGGTATTGCTGTGAGTTTCTCTCCATTTAGTTTGATGTTGGCTGTTGGCTTGCTGTATATTGCCTTTATTATGTTTAGGTATGTTCCTTGTATCCCTGCTCTCTCCAAGACCTTTATTATGAAGGGATGTTGTATTTTATAAAATGCTTTTTCAGCATCTAATAAGATGATCATGTGGTTTTTATTTTTAAAAGTTGTTTACATGATGGATTACACTGACAGATTTTTGTATGTTGAAGCATCCCTGAATCTTTAAAAAAAATTTTTTGCAATATATATTGTTTACTATATTCTTACCCCACCTAGCCCTACTCCTCCTTGATTCCACCCTGTTCCACTTTATATTCCTTCTTTCTGTTAAACACTCACAGTAAAACAAAACACACACACATACACACAGAATGTATGTAATGTTGGACAACTATTACTGAGCATGAGGCTTGCAAGGCCCGAGAAGTGGTTGATATACCCAGTGTCACAGTGTTGAAGAAAACTCATTTTTCCTTTTTCAGCAGGTGTTAATTTCAAATAGCGTATTGGTTAGGGGGCTGAACTTTGTGCCCACTTGTTTGTGCTTAGATTTTGTCTGATTTGAACTTGTAAAAGTATTGGGCATGCTGCCACAGTCCCTATGTATTCGCGGATGAGCCCACACTGTTGTGTCCTTATTATCTGGTCCTTACAAGCTTCCTTCTCTTCCTCACAGATCCCTGACTGTGCCTTGAGGGGCGGGGTATACACATCAGACTTTTATTTTCTTTCAATTTTCTAATTATCTTAAAAATTCCAAGAGTTCATTGGACAACCCTGTAAAATTACTTTCTTGGTAAAACTCTATGATCCATGATGTGACTCCTCTTTTTTCTTTCTACCTTATAGGTGTTACTTTCAGTAACCACATTCGCTTCATGTTTCTCATTTTAATCCAAATATCATCTGAATTATTTTTAATTATGTTTTATATTTGAAAAAATAATTATGTTTGTTTTATCAATTTTCCTATTTTAAATAGTCTAGTACAGAGATTTTTCTCATATATTTGTTTGTCATAGTGTTTGTGAGACTTAGGAAGAGCCACGTAAGTTGAAAAACCTCATGTTTCTGAATTTTGTCTTAAGCTGTTTTATCCATTTGTGTATTTCTTATTACTAAATATTAGAAACTTGGGGCAGTGTATTTGTGTGTGTGTGTGTGTGTGTGTGTGTGTGTGTGTGTGTATGCATTCCATATGAAACATAGGCTTTGAGATCAAAT